GCAGGACCTGAGTTCAAGCCCTGGTAAAAGCAACATCGTAAAAAAATTTAGCTGTAGTTAAGCTTCTCATAAAAACAAACTTGCCGCTCGGAGTCGGCGTTAAACTTTAAGTCGCTCCCCTTTGAGTGACACAACCAAGGCGCATGCAACAAATTGAAGGAGAAGCTCGGCCAAATACTAATATATGTTTTGAATTCTTTGGAAATTTTGTGGGATACATTTTTGAGATGTGGGTAATTGAGAGATTTTTTTCACCGATTTTCGTGGAATTTTTAACAGAGAATGTCTGGCACCACTGATGCCTGTACACGTTGTGAGTACAAAAAGACGTATGTATGTAAATACGCACATACTTATACATTCCAATGTTTACTTTTTCGCACGCTTAATTTGGCGGCAGTGGCTTATGTCAATTCCCGATTGTTATATATTGATATAAAAGTATGGGAATTTACAGCAACAAAAGTTGATTATTTTGGCTTGTGGAAATGCGTTGTGAGTTTGTAGACAAACAGAGTTGCTGGAGCGAGTATTTTTCACATTTCTGTTTGTTTCCCACACGTGCCAAAACAAAAAAACTTGAGAGTGTGTATCTGTCGAATAGCGCAGTAAAATTTCAAAAAATGTATCTAAAAAATTTGGCTTACAAAATTTTTGTGTGGAAAAAAATTTAGCATACAAACTTTGTCCATGTAAAAATCTTAAAATCAAAATAAAAAAAAATTGCTATACAATTTTTTGTTATAAAATTTTTTCTTGAGTTTCTCAAACAAATTTTTGCAATTGTTTTTTTTTCATATTTTTAAACAACTAAGATTAGTCAGGTTTTGTATGTGCATACATACATACATCATTGCCCAAATCTTTTTAGACCAAAGTTTTTACAACTTTGTTTTCCCAAAAATTTGTTACATAAAAAAATGTTTTCGCTAAATTGTTTAATCTCTGAAGTATTTTGTTTTGAAGAATTTTCAATGAAACGACTGAACAAAAACATTCAAGCAATTTTACTCTAAAAAATAACAAAAACAAAAGACAATTAGCTTTTTCTTTTCTATAATTATAACTAGTTTCTGAGCTAGTCTATTGCTAATGAGAAGACTGACAATTTTGTTCACCTCAACGTTTTTCAACCAATAATTTCGACCCTAAAATGTTTTACCAGAAACAAGTTTCCCAAAAAATTTTCTGCTGTGTACGAAATTTGTCCTGCCTTGTCCGCGTGCGTTGTTTTTTAAGTTTTGTTAATATGTACGTACTAGGAACTACCCTTTATTTCGGATATTCGGGTATACGCATAAAATCCGGTTAATATCCGTTTATTTTGCTATCCGGATATCCGGTTAATATTCTTTCATTTGGTTATCCTGTTATTATGAGCAGTATTTTAATGGATTTTCGGATTTTATTCAGATATTCAATGTATGTGAGATAGCATTTACTCTGTAACTGTTTGGGCGGAAAGTGTTATGGGTCTCTCAATAAACTCCTCAGGCTCATTCAAGAGTCTGGAGAATTCCTGCGCACAACATGTTACCCTATCCATTTCTTCGTTATTTACGCCTCAAGTACAATTTATGTACATAAGTGATCTCGTTTTGGGTTGAAAACATCATTATCGAAAACAACTTGATTGTCTTAGAAGGCGGATTGTTGTTTGCCTCGCTGATGGTTCAGAGTAGAGTATTTCGAATGCCTTGAAATCGAATTTCATACAAACATAATATTAAATTAAAAAGGAATGTTGCCTTTTTACCGGTACTTCTTCCTGAACAGCTACTCTGTTGATGTTGCAATACTCTTAGGGCCGGTTACTCAATGTCTGGTTGACACTAACCTGCGGTTAAACATCGTTATCGACGTCTTCGACTCCATGCATACGACAGGGAGTCAGTAACGTCTATAACGATGTTTAACCTGTAGTTAGTGTTAACCAGACATTGAGTAACCGGCCCTTAAGCAGTTAGTATAAAAAAATTATAATTCTACTTTCGCTGAACTCGACCATCTTTGTATTCACAAGTCAGTAAGTGTGTGTGTCTGTTTGGCAATCAGAAACTTTCCAGTTTATTTTGATTCAGCGGCTTATAAAAAGAAATTACTGCAATAAATTGTTTATAATAAATAAATGCAAGAAACTCTCATACATATGTATGTATGTCTGCGAATGCTTAGAAAATTTGCGGAATTTGCAGCGAAAAAATACGAGTATTTTCCCGGTAAAACCAATTTAGCCGGCTGCGAGTGCAGCATCAAGGGAAAGGGGTTTGGAAATGTATGATGAAATTTTGCACATACATATGTGAGGGCAAAGTTGAGCGCAATTAAAACAGAAGTAGAGCGAGTGAGAGAGGGTTAAGATTGAGTATATAAAATTCAAAAATTTCCTGAGATTTTGTTGATTAAAAAAAAAAACACACATGCAAGCGTCACCATGTGGAGCACAGCAAAATATTCGAATTTTCGAACAACGTGCAAGTAGATTGATTGAGAGTGTATGAGCGTTAGTGAGAAAGTGTTGGGTGAGCGCAAATTGTAGAAAACGGAGTGAAGTTAAAATAGTAGTATGCAGTATAAAATTATTGCAATTTCTTAAAAAAATGCAATGAAATATCTTCTTATGCTTTTAAATAAGCATCGAGTTTAAGAACAGGCCTGACATTTAAAATTTTTGCTTATTTAAAAGCAAACAAAATAAGTCAAGTCTATCAACGTCATAACTCAAAAAATTAAAAAAAAGGTAAGCGCTTATGATATCGTTCGTTTTCTGTAGGGTTAAAAGTTTTAAAGATTTTAATTAGGTTTCTCGCATTGAACAATATAAATAACAAGTAATTTTTAGCAAAAAAAAACCGACTTCAACTCCCATATAAAAAAAAAATATATATATATATATATCTCAAGATCCACTGATCGGATCTCAACCAGATTAGTATGGGACCACCTCTGAGTCACTACCTTTCCGAAATCGGTTGACGTGGTCCAAAGTTATGCGGTAACATACATAAAAAAAAAAAAAAAAATTATAATAATATTCCGACGAACTGATAACCTCCTCCTTTTTTGGAAGTCGGTTAATAACTATAAAACTATTGCGAGTAAAATCTTAAAATAACAAAGGTATAATTAAAACTATGCCTTGGTTCCTTTTTGGTCAAAGAATTGTTTTTCCTGTTATAATTGCGGATCAAATGGGAACGGAGAAAATTTTCAAATAAGATAAATTGAATAATTTCAGTATGAACTGTTTACGCGACTAAGGTTAGGTTAGGTTGAAGCGGCTGCGCACGCAGACCCAGTGGGTCCGTTGTGATATGAACTGAGAGCTCGAATTCAAACACGTCCGGTTGGATAGGTTCAGAAAGCGCGAGAACTCGTGAATGCTTGCTTCACTTAGGTCGGCCAGACAGACTAAAATCTGCTGGTGAAATGAGCGTCTTCTCGCCCACATGAGGACAGGGCAGTAAGAGACGTAGTGCTCCAAGCTCTTGATTTCGTCCTCGTCGCGGCAACCACGGCAGAAGTCAATAGCCGGCCGACCCATTCTGCTAGCATGCCTTCCCATTAAGCAGTGACCTGTAATGATACCGGTCACCAGCCTTAGCAGAGCGCACTCGAACCGAATGAGTGCGTCGAAGCTGAGCCAGATATGTCGAGTCGTCCCACATGCGCGTTCTTCCGACCATCTTTTGTTGGCCTTCTCAATGAAGTATGTCCTGAGCCATGTCTTAAAGGTAGATAACGGTATGCCCGCTGCATAAGAGGAGTTGACGTTAGGCAGGGGCTTCCCTTCCTCGCAAGCTCGTCCGCTGCACAATTACTTTGAAGGTATCTGTGGCCTGGCACCCACACGATGTGAGTATTATATTTTGAAGCTAAATCCTTAAGTACTTTCCCACATTCCATCGCAGTTACGAGGTCTTGCAGCAGTCCGGTGACTTGATAGCTGAAGGACTAACATCTACTTTTTTCATACTAACGCAGTCGGAAAAATGAGGAGTCTGTCTTAAGTGGAAAGGTTGCCAAAAACTATTGTTATACTATATTGTTCCAGCAAATGAGCGATATCTTTTTTTACAAAATAAACTTAAGCAAAAATTCGTAGTAAAAACCGGTTTGCCAATGCGCTTAACTTTTGCACAGCTCGCAAGCTCTCCTAAGCACTTGTGATTACACACACACACACACACATATATATAACTATATTTGTACACGGAAGCGCACTTTCGCTTACTTTGGGGAGCGCAGCACCAGCAGCTTGATGAGCGCCACTCAGGCCGCTTGGAGCTACAGCTCGCCTGCCTCACACTGCTCTGGCGCTCTGATAACTCATTTTAGCTTTTTAAGTTTTTTTTTTTTTCTGAATGGCAAATCGCAACCACTGCACTACTTGAACGTTTGGCGCTTATACGAACAATTTTAGTTCAGCACGATTGGCCAAAGTGTTAACACTTGTGCGCGTTTATGAGCGACTATTTGATTGCTACGCCGTTAATAACGCTAAATAATACATACATATGCGAATACATACATGTGTGAAATATTTAATTTTTTGAAAGCGTCAATTTTGTTATAATAGAAGTGAAAAGTTACTAATGTTATTTTAACGAAAACAAATAAAATTGTGAAATAATTGCAAAGCAGAAAATTGTGAGCAAAAACAATTGCTGCTTTTGAAAAGTTTTTGATTTTTCGCAGTTAAAAAAAGGCGTAAAAATATTGTTAATGAGTACCTACTAGCGCGTGTGAAGTTTTTGCATGTTAACAGCTAATCATCAATACTTGTTGACAGTCAAGTATGTATTTACATTAATCAAATATCTAAACTTAATAAGTAGCAGCAAATGAGCGAACAAGCAAGTGGTTATTTACAAACGACGAGAATAAAATTTTTGAGAAATTATAAATAAACACTATAAACGGAACAAAAAAGGGAAAAAGTAAAAGAGATTAAAAAAAATCTAAAAAAATTAATAAACAGCAAATCACAAACGACTTATTAAAAATACTTTGTTGGCGTGAAAAAAATATTAATAGACGGACTTATGTACATACATATGTACATATTACGTGGTGTGGGTGTGAAAATTCCGCGCGCCTGAAAATCCAATAGAAAACTATACAGCACAATAAAATGTAAAATTTTCTTAAACAGAAATAACAACTAAAACAAATACATAAGAATACAACATTTATAAAAACAACAATAAATAGAAAACAAAAACGCTTTGTCAGCCCGTTAAATGTCGCGACATTTGTGACACTATAAATAATAATTTGTCGTGAAAGCGCGCTGAAAAATATAAAATATATATTCGCTTCAAATTTTGAACATTACAACAACGAGAACAATAGCGGAGGCAAAGTGTAGCACAACAAAATATGATATCGCATTAGTTTTGGAAAAAATATTCAATACCAACATAAAAGCAGTAACCTACCAAAAAGGAGCTTACGTAAAAAGAGAAAAAAAGTATAGCTAGCATCAAACGTAGTGCTATTTTATGTTGCTTCGCGTAAGCGCATGGAAATTCGTGACATTCATTTGAAAAATGCATTTCAACATTTGACACGTCCAATCGAACGTGAAAAAACGTGCACGCTTATGTAGCTTTCGGTTTGAAAATTTAAAAAATTATTATATTTAGTAGTGAAAAACCGTGAAAAAATCACATAAAAAACATTCGCACTGCAGAGTGTTGTTCGTAGCGCAAAGTGTCCGTGTGGAAGGAAATAAGCTCCACTTGAAACTTTTGTTGGGGCAGCGGTTTTGAAGCCCCCAACAGCTAGCCGTGCATTCGAGCATTGTGAACATGGCGATACATGTCCTGTCAACTACGAACAGCCAAATGACCAGACCACATTTACGAAAATCTATGCGGATTATCGATGATAACTTAACACTGTACAAACATAATAGAAACTTTGTTAAAGCAAAAGCGCACATGACAGTTCAATCAAGCAGTCAAGCAACTAGACAAACGGTATAAGCGAAAAGATAAACGATCGAGCAAATCTGTAGAGCAACAAATTAAAAACAAACGATTTACGGGACAGAGCAAATAGAAAGTGAAACCGCGCGCGATTCAAACGAAGAAAAAGTGAAACAACGCAAGGACTCTGCTTGAGCATCTAAAAAAAAATAAAAAAAGATTAAATTGCAGGCACACCCTGTAATTCAACGAAAAGCAAGCGAGTGAGTGAGCGAGTTCCAGAGCACAAACGCGAGCGTGACGGTGACTGAACGCGTGAGCAACACGTAAGGACACTGTTGAGCTGTGCAGCTAAGCAAACGAACGAAACAAGAAAAAAAAGACAACGAGTAAAAAAAGTAATACGAAAAAGAAGCAGACGCAGTACAAAAAAAGAAATTTATATGTAAATAAAGGTGTTTGCATTAATTTATTTACAACAAGCGCGCACATCTGGCAAGCAGGCGGCAGTAACTTCAACGAAGTCCAAAACGCAACGCACACCCGCAGAGCAACAAGCTAAAGGCAATATAAAAGAACAGAGAGTGAGTGAGAGAGCGCCGCACAAGGATCTGACGCAATAGCAGACACATTCTAAAAGGATATTGAACCCACGCAAGCTGACAGTGAGTGTGCGAGTGCGCGTACTTGATTGCAATTGTATTTGTATCTGTATTGCTGAGCGCTGAAAAACCAACACGTGTTTTCTGTTTGCACCGGCATAGCTACAGACGCAGCCACAACCAAACCAAAGCCAGCAAGCCAGCAAGCCAGCCTATCGAAGCGAAGCAGCAAGGGTAAATCAAGCAAGTGACGCTAAGCTATATTTCATTCGACATACGTGACTGGCGGTGGTTGGTGCAACAATTTAAAGAACGTAGTAGCAGGATACATACCTACCTACAAATCCAAGCATAAGTATCTACATATACTGCCAACAACAGCAAACACGCATCCTGCCTCAATTGTTAATGTGTTGTACATGTGTACATAGTGCAAAGTGAATGTGTTAGTGGCTTCTATTTTGTATACAAGCAAAGGACATTCTTTTCTCAACAATCTTTTTCAATTGGCACAAGTAAGCGAGTGTGTGTAGAAGCGCGCGCCTAAAGAACGGAAAGGACTGTTACATTTTTTATTCAATTTAATAAAGAAGGAAAGTGTAGTGTTGAGTTTCTTTTTAACTCATATATAAGCAGTTTTTGTGCATTGTTTCTTTTTTGTTGTTTAATTACAACAAATAATTTTTGGATAGCCTCCAATTTGAAAATGGATTACTACGATAGCTTGTTGGACCATTTGCAAATGCTGGATTACAAGGTGCTCAGCCTGTTGGCTGTACCAATTGTTGCTGTATTAGTGTTGGCGGCAGTGCTGCTGCGGATAACGAGAAAAAGTGAGTGTGCAACAAAATTTTATTGATTGGATTTTTGTATAAAAATTTTTGTATTGTTTTTTTTTGCAAAAAAAAACTTAAAGAAATGTTTGAGATTTTCAAATCTGTGTTGACGAAAGTACGTGCACATTTAAATGCATTAAATTTTCTTTCAAAACCTGTTAGTGAATAGGTTACAATCGTAACCAGAAATGAAAAATGAAATCAAAAAGCCTAACTAACAAAAAATTTAAAATTAATTAGTTTGATTGATTTGATGCAATTCATGGAAATCCAAATCCCCACATCGTGTTGTACAAAAAAAAGTTATTAAATAGTTACGACTTTTTTCATGTTAATTACGGCCTTTTGCATTTTTTGTGACTATATGTATGAAGAGTAGTAGAGAGTTGTGCTTAGGTAAATCGAATTTTGTGGAAAATTGTTTTTAAATGGATTTTAGCTTCAAAACGATCAACAATTGGAAATATGCTTGTGGCTTTCTTAAATCAAAGAAGCAGGAAAATACATAGCATAAAATTTAACTGTTTTAAATATATTTTTTTTACAACATGTAGTGGAAAACCGTCATGTGTTACATAACACATCCTTTTATAAGTTAAAAAAAAAAAGTTTTGTAGCTCATTCAATTTCAGTATAATAACGTACACGTTTCAAGTCGCTAAATATTAACGTTAATTTTTTATAATTTTTCCTCAATGGTGTTGAGCGTTTTCTTCCGTACAAAAATACATTTTGTCCATGCGTTATAAGGAAGATTGAATGCGAACTAAATTTTTTGCTAAAAATTCTGAATAAAAATTTTGCTGAAAATTTTCTGAATTTTTTTAAGCTTTGTAAAAGGTTCAACATTTCATTTATATTGTTTTTATTAGAATATGAAATGTATTTTCGTGAAAAATTAACGTAAAAAAAATCTTGAAAAACATTGCGAATAGGTACTGTAAAAACTCATTGTACGAATAAATATTTTGATCACTGTACGTATGGGGTTTCTAAATTTTTTTTATTCCATTAAGTTGACGTATTAATTGATCGAAATAATATTTAAATCGCAAATAACGCTTCAATTTGGCCGAAAAAAATTAAATGCAAAATTAAAAGCATTATTTCTAATTCAAAAAAGAACGAGTTTGCAATGATCTAAAAATAAAAATCTTGATATTGGACGGTTATTTTCGACCTCTGGTAATAACTTCTATTTATAATGGAAATTGTGAAATTACTTTGACCTTAGTGATTTATTTTTGAAATCGTAATACCCTAATTAAGGAAAACAATTTTAGAAAAAAATAATGCTTGTCATTTCTTCCATCTAACAAATCCAAAACTATTCAAATAACCAGTGCAAACTAGTACATGAAAATGATTTCCGTAACCATTAGCCTGATAGCAATTTGATTTAAGTAATTACCCAACATACATTTAGCTTTCAGCTCAGCTTTAGGTTAAGTTGGGAGCTAAGGTATTTTGCAAATCCCCAAAGTTGTTTCTCAACAGAACCTCAAGTAAAGGATCACAGCGTTCTCAACAAAAAGGCCTGATTCTCAAGTTGAGAAAAAGCTAGTTCTCAACTTGGACTCCAATGTAATTCTCCAATTGGTCTCAACCATATCATTGATATACTGCAATTGAAATAGTAAAATAATGTATACCTTTTTGATTGAAACGAACTAGATAAATTAAAATATTAGTTGTTTATTTTCTTACTCATTCTGTAAGCTGTAGTTAACCAATATCGTATTACAATATTTCACTTCAACGCGTCTACAGTAAGTCTATCTTTTGATTCACTTCGTGTTTTATTTCCTTTGAAGACATTTACTTCTTGTTGGTAATCTTCCAATTTATATAACTTTAGTTTTTCACTTGATAATTAAAAATTCGTTTCTCTATCACTTTTCCCTTATCTACGCGTCGATTTTATACTTTTGAATGCGTATGTGCTACCATGTTGGAGAAATTTTTTTTCTCAAGTTCATCTAAACTTCCAGTCCCAAAGTTAGAGATGAGTTGGAGAATGATGTTGGATATCAACTTGAAAACTATGACTTTCTCCAAGGTTGGAGCAATATTTTTTTAGTGTTTGTTGGGTATACGTATGTATGTATTTGTGATGAAGCTCTCAAGCGAATTCGCACTGGTAAAATTTAATCGCAAACATTTGTAGCTTAAGTACGCTAAAAAAGCTGATAAGGAAACGTGAGTGGCATTACCTTGAATTATTTGCACTATCTAAATAAAATACTAGAAAAGTACTAGTATTATTCATACATATGTTTTTATGTTTTCAACTGTGGCTAGCTACATAATTGTGTACTCGTTTTGTACTCTGGCTGGCAGCAAGCGTCAGCTGGCAGTTAGCTCGCATTAGAAGCCGTTAACACGTATCAGTTAGGAGTATCTTCTACTTACACATACTATATACATACATATATATAGTTTGCTACCAATTGTACTACACATGTATGTACATATGTATGAGTATTTCATAGTAAGATATTTATCTGTAAGGTGAATGAGTTAACAAGATTGCTCGACTAGCGAATTTGAGTAGGAGATACCACTAAAAATTAACGATAAAAACCGCCAGCACTTCGATTGTACTCACACTAGTAAAGAATGTCATCTCGAAGCGCTCATTACCTAAGAGGCATTGCTGAATTGCTGACTTTTATTGAAATTGTTACAGCCTCGGTTGTTCTATAACCGCCATGATAATAGTTACCACTTTATTTGATTTTTATAACATAATTTTATGCGTGCGGTAAAATATCTTAGCACAGGTGGCGCTGGCTTGAACAATGAGAAAATAAAAATCGGTTTTGTTAGAGGAATTTTAAAGAATTTATTCTAAGAGCTTTGTTAATTCCTCAGTAATCTCCAGCCCGGCTCGAGATACTTACATTTTCAGCCTTACTTCATAACTACTATTACGTTGAAATTAACTACCTAGAATTGAAGTAAATATAAATATATGTATGTATGTTTTTCAATTTAACAATTCCGCAAAATGTTTTAATGTTTGCCTTCATATTTCAAGGTTAGAGTGTCATTATATCCTAAAATATTTCATACATGTATGTATGTACATTAAGGTGCCTCACCAAAATATTAAGACTTCTGGACCAATTTGAAAATACCTCTAAAGTCTCATGGCCTTATTCATAAAAAATAAAAGAGGTTGAAATAATTCTATAAAGTGACATTTTCATACAAATATTGGATTTATAAAGCAGTTAAAGTCTTTTTTTATATTTTATGAATTTGGGTGTCAGTATTTTGATTCCGTTGATAAAATTTAAGAAAATTTGTTTGCAGACCTTTTCAGACTGAAACTTTTTTATCATATGAGGTGATTTTTAGAACTAATATTTTTAAAAAATAATTTCATTTAAAAAATCTCGATTTTGGTGTTTCCAAATTAGTCCCGCTCATCTTAACATGATTACGAAATATTGTGGCGGAAATCTTAAAATATAATAATTTTATAATTCCAATGGGAACCGAAAACGTACCGATTTTTTATGGAGAGTGATGCATCCTAATGTATGTACATATGTTTGTTCTGTTTGTTTTATTTCCTAAATAATATGTTTGTTAAATAAATATTTTTAAAGATAATACACTTACGTTTTTGTTTGTGTTTACATTTCAAAGCTCTTCCGTTTCTTAGCTGCATTTTTCAGCAGGAAATTATATTCGTACTTAAGGTGATGTCAGATAGAACTTTGCGGCTTTGTGTGACATTTATAACTTTGCCAGAAAAGTGCCAGACGCAAAAGGGTATGCCACAATGAACGCCAAGAAAACAATTTTGTACTGCTTTTTTGCTCGTCACAATTGCTATGGATTTTATATATTTAGCTTTCAAAATATAAGCAATGTAATTAAATTTTATGTTTCTGAATTAAAACTCGAATTTGGACGAAACAAAATAAATATTAACCCGGCTGATTGTGAACGCGCGGAAAAAGGTGGGAGTTGGTCATCCATTCGCTTCGCGCTGGAGTTGCAACGATCTATGTGGCATGCTTTGCGCATTTTCATACAATTCATCTTATCTGTCAAAACGAATCTGTCACACAAACCGAAGCAAGTGTTTTAACTGGCATCAGCTTTATTCCTATGTTCGTATTCTTAAAAGAGCGGCCTAATAAAAATTTCGTATAAATACATATGTACATTCGTTCGTTAAAAAAATTTTTAAAAAGCTTAACAATTGACATTTAAATATGAATATCTATGATTTTATCACATGTGTAATAATATAGAGAAGTAATTCAAAATTTACGTTTTTTGAGATTTCGTCATACAATTAATGAGCTTTGTAAGAATATGTTCAGTAGGGGAAAAAAGTTTAAAATAAGGGTATTTTATTTATTTTCCAGTAAGAAGAATCCTAGGGTGCCTAATGTTCAGTGCAGTACATAACTGAACTTCCCAAAAATGGCAAATGGTCTTTCCATCTGTCTTTTTGTATGCTAACTATATGAATCAATAAAAATTTTATTGTGTTTTCCCACAAAATTTGAAATAATTCTCTATATTATTACTATATGTAAACTTGGATAAGAATTGATGTATGAATAAGCATATGTTTAAGTTATGTTAAGCTTCCAAACCACGTTGAGCAAAATTCAAATTACCTTTGGCGAAATGGAACAATAATCTTAGTCCCTTCGCGATAGCTGGTACCATATCCTGAAGCTTGCCCTACGCGAACCAACTCCGTTGGCGAGGATACGTGGAGTACCTTCCAGACTCGCATTGGTGTGGGATCGATACCTCAGTCTACGGCATCGTAGCGAGCATTACTTCCTTTTCTATGGAGACCATTCCCTTTTAGACATATCAACGCTACATTGTCGTCGGTCCATCAAAAGCAGTCGTTTTTTTTCATGCACTTTTATGATCATAACGCTGCACACTTTCCTTTCTACAGATTTTCATCTTCATTTGTCCATAGAGCTCACTGCGGCCACCTAGCATTACGAGCC